TGACAGTGTATTACACCTGAATCTGAATTATAACAAACAGGTAATTTTGACAAGTTTAGTAGTTTGATAGAATAACAGTTTTGGAAGACTCATATTGAACAGAAAATAACCAGGTTATTCACTTGGGGTGACTATTGGTCTGGAAATCACTATTGCGATAACTATTGATATTGAAAAAAACTATTGCGATAACTATTGATATTGGAGCAGACTGAGGATGATGGGGTGTTAGCTGCCTTTGCTAATCATGCTAATTTCCTTGTTGATCCAGTCAAAAAATTTCTTGTTCAAAGTCAGCCGCCATTTTGGTTTGAGAATGAAGGGACCTCAGCCAGCGATTGTTTCGCTTGCAAGCAGCTAAAAGTTAGCGCATTTTTGTAAGGCGAATCGCTATACATCGCCTGCAAGCGATTGGAGTTTTACAAGGCATCCCTGCTAACAGCTTCAGTAGCAGAGCCATTAGTGATCTCATTTGATTGTGACGTCATGGTAACCAATGACATCACAATGGTCTGCAAAAGCATTGTGATGCAATTTCATTGCAGCGATATCTACAATGTAGATATCGCTTGATCTCACCAAAGCCATATCTCCTGTGGGAGCCAGGTTTTGGATGATAAATAACTAAGTTATGATAGTTGTAGCCCTTACAGAATCATTTTGTGGTTCGGAGACCTGGGCCCACTTGCACAAAGCGATCTTAGCGCTAAGATGATCGTAACTCCCATACTTTAACATAGGCTTACAAAAGTCTTAGCGCTAAGATCGCTTTGTGCAAGTGGTTGTGTTGTCAGGGAGCTTGAAGCAACTACCAGTCTTTCTAGAAAGATATTTCTGGCCATCATCTCAGGGCAATTGTTCGAAATAGAAAAAAAATCCCGATACATTCATAGATAAAACACGACCAAAAAAGCCCCTGCCCGTGGGACGTTCAATTTAATCCAGTGCTAGAGATGAGTATCTGGACGAACACATGTTGGCTAACAAGACACCTGAAGGTAAAACTCATTAAAAGTTCCCATATTGTGATGAGCTGATAGCTTAGTGATAATACTACACATATGCCTACCATCAAAGAAGGACACTCAAACTTCAATCACCAGCATTGTCCTCAACATGCTGAAGGCGTAGGCCCCACCTTAAATTATCAACAATTTTCACATTTCTTTGTGATGCAAGTTTGGATTATTTTGCTTTGTTTTGTGGGCATAAAAAACAAGCGACAACTTGGAACAGGTAAAGCATTGCTTAGGGCACATGTTTTTTTTCCAACGCCCAAAATTTATACCAAGATTGATAAAAGGACCCAATATGTGTTTTATATGCAAATAAGTGATGTATCCTGAGGTATAACATGAGTGAGTGAGTGAGTGAGTGAGTGAGTGAGTGAGTGAGTGAGTGTTTATTTGTTGCTTTGCCGCAGTTTAACATGAATACCCCACTCAGACACAGTATACCGACTCTGAGCCGAACAGTCCTTGTTTTAGCCCCTTAATGCCAAGCGCCAGGCAGGGTAGCAACAAGTTTAATCTTTCAACATCCTTTGGTATGATACGGCTGGTGATCGAACCCCTGACCGTCCTCACTCCGGGCAGACGCTCTATCACTAGAACACGAAAGGCGATCTCAAGCATACAGATCAATGTAAACCCTACTTGAAGCTAGTGTTCAAAGGAACACTCCTAACAACATACTGCTCAATCTAAAAAGAAGACTACAGATACTGAACACTGAACAAACACGTGGAGATCTTACCACGACAGAAGTTCAATTGACTTTCCATCAGGTGAGCTAAACTTAACACCTAATCACGATCTGTTCCAATATTTTTAAAAGTGAAAAAATGAAAACAAAGGCATATATATTGTTTCTGCTTGATAACTATTAGTTCTGTAAACTTAGGGCTAGGTTTGATCTTTGTTTTGCATTCTTACAACAACAAAAAAAGTAAAAAAAACCAAGGTAAAAAAACAAGTAAAAAAACAATTAGAACCCACGATGGAAGTGTACCTGGTAACTCGAAGGTTACACTATGAATTATTGAGCTAAAACTGGCATCATTCAAAACTAGAAAACTACTGATGTCCCAGGAAACCCTGTATCCATGACGACTTATTGTAATTTGGGTGATCATGACCTATCTAAACTCTTCACTTCCTGATGGAGAGACATAAATCCTGGACCGCAGGATCCTTGAGATGTCCGATGAATGACGTCTGCTGACGGACATGCTACCACACGACAAACACTCTCTGCCTGGCACAAAGAAGGAAACGGACATGCCTGTCAGCCTGCATACATTATGACTAACGACATAACCAACCACATCCAAGACACTTTGACCTGATGGGAACAGGATTTGCATATGCCTTTTCAAGGGTTTTCAAGGCTTCCTCAAACTTCAAGGCCATGCAAAGTTAAATATTCCCTGTGTCTGTTGGCTAAAATCCTGTCACACCTGACCAATCAAACACCATCCTTCACATGGACAGACATGGTATGCTTTACGGCTGGGAAGGGGTAACTCGGGTACTCAAGACAATACTAGAATTTTTACTTCACTAAGGAAGTGTTATCCTAAATATAACATGCAACATTTAACCACTTTCTACAGGGCATAGTCTATTCATACAAATGGACCATGTGCAGATACAGAGGGGGGTGCGGGGGTGCGCACCCGCCCTTTCTTTTTCGAAAAAAAATCTTTATTTCTGTATAAATTACCACCAAAGACAATATATAGATCTTAATTGTGCACCCCCTCTTTTCAAAAAAGCTGTATCCGCCCATGTGGACTACATGTAAAAATTGGCTCTGACTAGGGCTGGGACGGGTAACTCAGGTACCCGGGTCGGGTGGGTACCCACAGGACCACCTGGACCCGTGGTTAGTCACGAGATATATCACGCTCAACCACTGGACCATGGAGGCGAGATTTCATTTCAAAGCAGTTAGTCAATGAGACAAACAAACAAAGCCAAACCAACTTGATTAATATGAACAGCACTATCTAAAAGTCTACAGATGTACAAGCCTTTTTTCCTTCACCTTTAATCCAGCACATCATGTTAAGAGGAGGAGACAATATATGGTCTGTGTGATAAGAGGGTGATAATTCTCATACCTTGTGACAACTTAATCCAATCAAGTTAAACCAGGACTAGAAAAGTGATGACCTTAACTCGAAATTCCTGTGTTAATAATCAGACGAAAGTGTGGTGTGGTTCGTGGAGGTAGAGAGGGCCGTTCTATCTGAGTCGGGGGTAAAGTAAATAACGTAACATCAAACAACCTCTTTGATGGCTCCTCTGAAAGTTGCATTATTTGATTAACGTTATCAGTGTTATTTGACGTAACTTGTACGTAACGTGGAAAATGTGAGATGGGTTATAAATCGGTGTTTACCATACAGAACATGAAAATAAAAAAAAAAAAAACTTCTACGTACTTCAACGACCTGGTCTGTTCTTAAATGAATAAATTATTATTTTTCTTTGCCCAGAGAATTCCTCCATGAGTGATGTAACATGATTAGCTCAACCATACCAGTGTTTGATGTGTTAACGATGCCCGAGTCATGGTGATTGTCCAGTCTCATTAAAATCAGAATTTTTTGCCCATATGATGCCTGTGTGTAAGTGAGATCTGAGGGCAGCTCTAGAGGTCACGTCCGGCAAACCCTGCGTGAAATTTTACCGCCCAATCTAAATGAAGGATGCAAGGTTTCTTGAGCCAATCAGCTGTCAGCTTTCTAATGCTGTTTGGCTTCATTTCCAGGGGTAGAATCTAACATATTTAGTCCACTAGTCCTTATTATGATAACATATAGCAAAACCCTTAAAAATGGCAAATTTCTACAAGTCCTTATGATACCTTAACTACTGGCCAGTTTGGCAAGGACTACAGGACTAGTGCCAATTTCTAACACTGATTTCTCTATCACCTCGATTCAGAATCTCAACTAAAGAAACTCAACTGAGAAAAAAAATATTCCCTCGATAATACACTTTTGGGAGATGCCATACTGCTCAGAAATGACAGGGTGTAGCATGGGCTTTAATCTTTTCCTTCAGAACTGCCCATTTATGTTCATTTTCAAGATACAAATCCAAATAGGCTGCTCTCAAAGTTCTGCTGGGTTGTACCGAGAACTGAGAACCCTCATCACTGATGCGGACTCCTATGAAGGGCTTCGGACCCTTATGCAGAGAGGTATCATATGGGAGTATACGATTATTAAACAAATGTTTGTCCATTGGAGTTTGTCATCAAATTCACACAAGTTCAAAACCAAACCATAAAACAAATTTCCAATTATTAGGATCCAAACCTTTTTTCTCATGTGGAACTACTCAAGGAAAGTGAGTAAGTGAGTGAGTGAGTGAGTGAGTGAGTGAGTGAGTGAGTGAGTGAGTGAGTGAGTGAGTGAGTGAGTGAGTGAGTGAGTGAGTGAGTGAGTGAGTGAGTGAGTGAGTGAGTGAGTGAGTGAGTGAGTGAGTGAGTGAGTGAGTGAGTGAGTGAGTGAGTGAGTGAGTGATGGTTTTAGCAATATTCCAGCAATATCCTGGTCACTTGACACCAGAAATAGGCTTCACACATTGTACCAGGGTTCACTCTGGAATTTTCTGACATGGGCCCTATATCTGAATATTTCATATAATCCAGAGGTACACCCACACTTGCCCAAACAGCAAAATGTTAAAATGCCCAATTGTATTTGAAAATGTGGGCCTTTTTTCAAATTTAAGGGCTAAAAGCACAAGGCCCCACCCTAGAAGTATCCCTGGTACCCATATGGGGACTCAAACCTGAGACTTTAGAATGACGAGTGAGCACCTTACCATGTCAACCACTAGTCTACCCCACTGCCCCTCGTCAAGGACAGAATGTTTACAGCACACCAACATTCCTGTTCCATCCAGCCTAGCTTGTATGTAAGTTGGAGCACAGCCAGTACTATATATAAGTATGATGATTCCAGACATAAGTAAATTACTCACCGGTAATGATGTAATTATGCAAATCAGGCAGGTATCAATCAGGCAAGAGCAAGTTCAACCTTTGCAGGGGGTAGAATTTCCTCGCCTTCTTGAAAGTCCTCCTGTGAAACAAAGACACGCAATAAGTATGGAACACACACAGAGAAAATGTTGTAATATAACCTAGACTTGATTAGTCCTGATTATCACTGATTATGGTGATTATGGTGATAGCAATCAAATGACAAAAAATAGTAATTAAATATACAACTGAATGTGTTTTAACAAGATGCCCATAGAACTTTGTTCTTATCAGAGCTCCTTTGTTTGTTTGTTTGCTTGTTTGTTGTTTAACGCCGCACTCAGCAATATTCCAGCTATATGACTGGGGTCTGTAAATAATTGAGTCTGGACAAGACAATCCAGTGATTGACATCATGAGCATCAAACCACACAATTGGGATACGATGACATGCATCAACCAAGTCAGCGAGTCTGACCACCCAATCCGGTTAGTCGCCTCTTACGACAAGCATGGGTTGCTAGGGGCCTTTTCTCTTACCCAGAATTCCCATGGGTTGGTCACCCATTTGAATTTGAAACAACGGTGAAATGACCTCTTATGACAAACTCCTCCCTACACAACACACTGTATGTCTCTTATAACAAACCCATTGTGATTCTGAGTAAGTTAGTCTCAGGCAACTGATGATGGTTGTAAGAGATGACCAAATGGATTGGGTGGTCAGTGTGATTGTGTGTCATACCCCAATGGCGTGGATCGCTGCTCACAATATTAACCACTGAATTGTCTAGTCCAGACTCGACTATATACAGACTGCCATCATATAGCTGGAATATTGCTAACTGTGACATTAAACAACAAATATACAATCAAACACACAACATCAGGAAACATGTACTGGTATCAGTCCAGCTAAATCACCACTCATCACACAACAATAAACGGGCAATGTATTCTCTCTGTTTCCGTCTTCAGTAAAATGTCCTACAACTAGGTCTGCATCGATACACTTTGTTACTTATCTTGAGGATACGTCTGTCAGAAAACTTTTCATGAAAACACGTATAGTCTGCCTATTTCAATGGTCACAATGGTGAAATAAACACGATGCATATGAATATATTTCTGTAACAGGATATTATATATATAGTTTTTAGGAATATAGTTTTAGCTTTTCATTCAAGTAGTTGTATATTTTCATTTATTGTAGCATAAGATGTATATGCTTGGGTTAAGAGTCCAAACGGTTGGTCCATTTCAATGAAGGGTGTGAGTGGGTGACAAAGGAACAGGAATAGACTAACCTGTCTACCTTTCAATAAAATAGACCAACCGCTTGGACTCTTATTGGAGCAGGGTGCTTTATATGGTGAATACGGTTATATTTATTTTGCTGTTACCACAGTTTCAACATCAAAGCTGTGGTAGCTCTATGCTTCTCAACTGTTTAATATCAATAGGCTTATCATGCTTATAGTCAGCATTACACCATGTGCACTGATATTCAGCACCGGTTTTATATTACATGTATAACAAAAACTTACATAACAAGAGCACCCCACCAAAATACACCAATAACCAATAAAAAAACCCGAACTACCAACCCTGTTTTTTAATTGGCTGAAAACGGCAACATACTGTTCTGGGGCTAAGTGAGCAAAAGATCAGGCTATGTCTACAAACATTGATTGAGCAACCAAGGGTCGACGTTGTGAGCATAAATCCATAATGTCAGGAAATACTGACTGTGACAAATTATACAAGAATAAATTCATTAAGCATGATGCACCCTTCCCCCTTATTGTATTCTCACAAGCTTCATCCTTTTCTGCCAACGTTAAGTGTGAAAACACCCTAGTGTCTGCTTACTGTTGAATGGTACAACATGTGAAGCCCATTTCTGGTGTCCCCCGCCGTGATATTGCTGGAATATTGCTAAAAACGGCATAAAACCAAACTCACTCACTACTGTTGAATGTCTCCCCAGTGGACTTTGCACTTATATAGGGATGTGGATGCACGTTTGTGTGAGTGGCTGCTGTTACTAGTCCAGACTTACAAGTTACATTGATTTTAAAGTGCTAGCTTACTGAGCTACCATGAGTTTAACATAAATAACCCCACTCAGACACAGTATACTGACTCCGAGACAACCAGTCCTTGTTTCAGCCCCTTAATGCTGACTGCCAAACAGGGTAACAACAAGTACCATCTTTTAACATCTTTTGGTATGACGCAGTAAGGGATCTAACCCGGACCTTCCTCTCTCCGGGCAGACGTTAAACCACTAGACCACAGAGGCGGTCCAGTGGGCTTCAAGAATCTCACTGTACACAAAAGTGAAGCAAATATGAGGATTCCTGTCACCAAGGAAAAAACATATTTAATGCTATCAGTTATATCCTGTAGCGGTGCATTGCAAAGTCATTGTCACAAACAGGATTAACACACTGAGAAGTGACATGGCACACTTTCTTAGCCTTGATGAAAACCTTTCTTATCACACTGTTGAAGCAATAGCCCCCCAAGGTGTAGCACAACACTGTCTGGAAATTAGCGCTTCCAATTTCTGCCGTGTTGGCCGTCTCAACTGATGACGGGGTCCGGGGGCAGGGTCTGGCAATCCTGACATGGGGACCCTCGGACAGAAACTCCTGATAAAAGGATATATTTGTAGTAAGAAACAAACAATCACCTAGCCGGACTAATCACACAGTTTATACCGCCAGTACTCCGGACATTATTGATCTACAAACTCTAGTCCCTATGTGTACTCATTGTATCACAGGGATGTGTTGGAATAACAGAGCAGGGTGGTGTAAACATGGGGGTGGGTGGGTGGGCAGTGAGTGGGTGGTGGTGGTAGGGTGGATGTCTTGTGAGTCCATGGTGGAGTGACTAAAAGTGAGTGAGTGAGTGAGTAAACAGGTTGAGTGGGTTGATAGGGTGAGTGATTGATGGCCAAGTGAGTGAGTGAGTGAGTGAGTGTGTGAGTGTGTGAGTGAGTGAGTGAGATGTGTGAGAGTGGTTAGTGGTTGTATGGATGATTTGAGTGTGTGAGTGAGTGAGCTAGAGTTTGAGAAGGTGTGTGGTTGTGTGAGTGAGTGAGCTAGAGTTTGAGAAGGTGTGTAAGTGTGTGAGTGAGTGAGCTAGTGTGGAGTGAGTGAGTGGGCGAGCTAGTGTTTGAGAAGGTATGTGTGTGAGTGAGTGAGTGAGTGAGTGAGCGAGCGAGCAACTAATGTATGCATGCGCTTCAGCTGTGATGTAGGGAGCTGAACTAGATCTTTTCTTGTGAGTGCAATGAAATACACCAACCACAGCCATTACCCACACCCCTATTTGTCCAAGACAGCTGAAGTTCAGAAAAACTACAGATAATGAATATTATCACTCAGTAAATAAATCTAAGTGTACAGCATAGGAGACCATCAATTTTTGTAAGAGGAGAGACAGAAAAGTGTTCAAGTCATATTACGGCATGTGCGCTTGATGTGGGAGGAAACCCCAAAGTGGTGCAATTCATAAACTCATACCACTTTGGTGAAATACACGAGCATAGGCATGGTGCAGAGAAACCTAAAACTTAACCAGGGCAAACAGGGACTTGACCCCACGTTCATACTAATTCAAGCTCATTAAAATCAGATCTTGGTTCTCGCTATCGCTAAACAAAGATCTGAGGACATCCCATTACGGGTCACGTCAGAACGACCTTTCATCCAACCAATCAGAGCGTTGCTTACCAGATCATGAAAGTGACAGTCTGAATGTGTTTTCTAATCATGCAACCACATAATATTTAACACGAGGTATTCCGAACGACAGTTACGGTCTATATGATTATATCCATACAATCTAGGCCATCTATAAGCCATTACAGAATGTTCTTTTTATCAGTTTTGACATTTTTAATCGAGAATACGTCAAAATATGTTTCGAAGTGTAGTCGCCAGTTTGAAACTTGTGTCGTAAAGCTTGAGAAAGCTGCCTTCTGATTGGCTAATGTCGATTTCTTGTCAGGCATTTCATTGGTCGGTCAAATTTCGCGAAAGGTCGTTCTGACGTGACTCCTAATGGGATGTCCTCAGATCTTTGTTTAGCGGTAGCGAAAACTAAGATCTGATTTTAATGAGATTGATACTAATCATAGGTTTCTGGCATGCCTAATGGTAGACTGACATCTAGTCTCTGAAATGAACATATTTTACAGAAAAAAACAGTTGTTAAAAAATAGTAATAAAATGTAATAAAAAGGAGCCCAGAGACTCTCTTCATTTTCAGATACTGTAGTAATCTAGACTTGCCAAATACTATAGACTTGCACGGGCTGTATTGGATATATTTGTTTCCGGGTCTGTATGACAGACTAGTCTATGGGATGCACAGGGCATTGTAGTGACTGTGCCCCCAGTGACAGAGAAGAGCCAGAGAGTTGTACAAATATGGTATAATAATAGAGGTGATCTAACAATCCCAGGTACGTTTATAGCTTCATATCAGGAAGTGAGGGGCTTGATGCTCCCCACTGAGGGACAGATCTATTTCAGTTCAAGAACACTGACACACGTGTGTGACTCACTGCATAATCTCAACCTTGACAGTCATTCAGCAGTATGCAAAACACTTGTAGTTATATACAGTGCTACATGTACTGAATATTGATTTGTTTCGAGGGAGCATAGCTACCTATCAAGTTATATATTTTGTAGTCGTAGTCTTTATTCAAGTGTATTGTAGGCCATAGGCCCATGATACAAACGGTAAGTGTACAGTGGAAGTTCGAGGATCACATTTATGTATTTAACAATGATTGTCTACGATGCATGGCTTTAACAATAAACAAAGAAAGACTTTGTAAAGTTGCTCAATGGACAGATGACATCAGGATGTTGAACTTTTGCCTTGTTGGGAATTCATAATATTTTCTTGGTATAAATTCTGCCCTCAGAATCTGGTAACATTTGCATATTAGAATAAAATGGTACTCATCTTCAACATAATTGTATTTACATGCTTTGCAAACTCGTTCCACTCTAGGTTCCATTTTGTGTCTACCAGATTCGATCCGAAGATGATGGGAACTACACCGTAATCTAG